CGATCAACTGAGGATCGGGATCATATTATCCACAGTCTGTTATTAGCGAGAACTGAGGTATTGAGGTATCGCTAGAAGACAACCCGATAGCTTAGACAAATTGGTCATTGTAGGGAAAATTGATGGCAAACGTTGACGAGGTTGTTCACCTATCCGGTAGTCTGATTTTATAAATGTACCGGCAACTCTACGCCAAGCGGAGGATAGGGTAGTGTGGAAGCAAATCAACGCAACTTTCATAAGAGACACGACCTTCAGCAATGAAGACAGCGACTAAGAAGAAGAAGACGTATAAAATATCCTGCCTACATATTGTATCTGTCAAATATATTTTAAAAATGGATACTTTATACGAACTTACAGTATCAATACATAAATCAGATAACCAATTATTGATCCACACAGTTAGCCTTAAAATTAGGTAACAATTTTGAGTTCACTCGGTAGTTGAGAGGTATGACAAAGGACACATGCAAACAATACATTTCTTCTTTTTCCCTTATTTATCGGATAGTCGCTAACTTGTACTTTCAAAAAAAATTTTCGACATCTTGGACCTTATTGACTCACAACTAGAGTTAAAAAGATCCAGATCCAAAATCGTGCTCAAATCATTAAAGGACTTACCCGCTCGTAATAGGAAAGAATTCCGTCTGTAATTTGTTTTTGAGAATGGAACATTCAACGGCTTGATATTTCGTAAAAGTCTGGTGGGAACAATCAACTTAAACAGCAATAAAAGGTCAGGACAATCGATCGAACCAGAAGATATCTTGGTAAGAAACGTAACATCCGCTATATTTCTACGCCTTCAGTGGTAACAGATGGTGTTTTCTACACAGATGATCATATTCAACGGAATGATAATTAATGCCAATGCGATAACACAAGTAATTTAAGAACTTTTTTTATATATTTTCTAGCCTATCAATGTATACAGCGTATTGTGGGTTCCATATTTGCGAGGCGTACTCCAAACCACTACGAACGATCGAACAATATAGTATCTTGATTGTTTTAGCTTCAGTGAAATCTTTGGTGTTACGAATTAAGAAACCGAGAGCCTTCGTAGCTTTAGATACTATACTATCAATATTATCATCATATAATAACTTGGAATCATGCACCACACCCAGATCACGCATAGAATGGACTCGTTAAAGACTCTGTTGTTGGAGAGTATAATTGTATTCAAATATTTTCAGTTTACGAGAGAAGGTCATGACTGTGCACTTAATCAGGTTTAAAGCCAGTTTATTTACAGTACAATAACCTTCGAGCCGCTTAAGATCTTCTTGTAAAAGTTTGGCTTCGTCAAGACTACGTATCTTTGCGAATATTTTCATGTCATCTGCGAAGCATAACAGTTTTGATGTATGTAAACATAAGTCAATATCATTCACAAAAATGCTGAACAGCAATGGCCCAAGCAGCGACCCTTGAGGCACACCACTGGGAACCGTGACCCAGCTGGAGATATAATTGTTTATAACCACGGCCTGACAGCGATTTTCAACATAAGAGGCAAACCATCGCAACAGGTTGCCGCGTATCTCCATCAATTCAAGCTTGTACAGAAGGATATCGCAAGGAATTCGATCAAAAGCTTTACTATAATCTTTGAAGACAACATCCACTTGGTAACCGTCATCCATAGAATTGGTAAGATAGTCACCGAATAGAACCATATTTGAGCCCTTTTAAAAATCCGTGCTGACTCAAACTAAGGCACTGATACAAGACAGGATAGATCTGGTTGTAAACTAGTCTCTCGAGAACTTTAGCCAATACACATAACTTAGAAATCGGTCTGTAATTCATAACTTCATATCTAGAACCCTTCTTGTATATTGGTGTTATGAAAGCTTTTTTCCAGATAGCAGGCACACAACATCGAGTGATAGATTGTATGAACAATAGTGATATTGGTCTAGATATAGTCGCAGAACAGTTGATGAGAAATATCGACGGTAGGTAGTCAGGTCCTGCTGCTTTATAAGGATCAAGATGCTTTAATAGATTAACTACGGTCTGTTCGTCCACTGAGATAGAATGAATTTCAATATTATTAGAACGTGATGTGTCTAACATAGTGTTTGAGATCGTTGAGGAATTATCGTTTGATTTAAGAAAAGAGGACTGAAAGTAATCTGAGAAAGCATTGCAGATGGATTCGCCATTATCGTAAGTAATTGGACCGCATTTTAAACTACTTGGTATCTGTGTTGACTTTGATTTCGACTTAACGTGGGCCCAAAAGTACTTTGGATTGTCCCTGATTGAGTTTTCAATGGACTGAATATAATTTTTGTAGCATATTTGTTCCAGGGATTTAAATCTTTTGTGTAGGATCTTATATGACAGATGATCTGCTGAATTGCTGTATTTTTTGAATTTACGTAGATATTTATATTTTTCTTTTAAAAGCTTTTTTAACGGGGCTGTGTACCATATTGGGTAGGTATTATTGGACATTTGTTTCGAGGGAATATGCTTATCTATGATATTATGAATAGTACTATAGAAAAAATCCACGGAGTCCTCTAGTCCACCCTTTGAAAATTCGGTTTCCCAGTCTGTATTGGAAATTTCATAATTGATTGAAGTATAATCGCCACGATTAAATAGACGTTTCTTTCCTGGTGCAACTTTAAGGCTTTGGAAGTGAAAGCTTGCCACATTAAGCACAAGAGCCCCGTGGTGATTATCAATGGGGACAAGTGCAGTTTCACTACAATCCCTAACATTTACTATAATATTGGATAAAACTAAGTCTAGTATGCGGCCATGACAGTTATAAATTCCATTATACTGGCGCAGGTTTAATATATTAATTTCGTCAACAAGTAAGGTTTCGCTCGGAGAACTAAAGTTGCTAGGCTCAAAAGATAGATCAGACGATGAACTCTGTGTCCACAATATATTACTTAGATTAAAGTCACCCACAACAATGAACTTACTAAATGGATTTGACATGACCACATTATTCAGCGAGTTTAAAAAATTATTCAGTTGCTGTGTAAATGACAACCCTAGGCTTTCTTTGCATAAGTATAAGACACACAAATGTATCTCTAAAGGTTGTTTGGTTCGGTACTCATGCAACTTAACAGTCACCCATAAGTCCTCCGCAGTGGAGTGATAATTTAACCTTGGGACCGCGCTGATTTCGCGACGAACTGCTATCAAAACACCTCCCCCCCTCGTCAATCCTGTACTCGCATAATCGCGGTCACGACGAAAAACCGCATATCTTTTGTCAAATAACTCAGCATCAAATACACTCTCCAACAACCATGTTTCAGTAATCATTATAATGTCATAGGAATTAGCACAGACACCGCGGTAGAATAGATTGGTTTTCGATCGAAGCCCCCGAGCGTTCTGATAGGACATGTTTTACTCAAACGGTACCGTGCCTTAGAAGTACTATTTTGAGGTCTAGAGAATCATTAAAAATATACAATGTTATGGTGGCTACATTGCCTAACGCTGTTTTATTTTCAAATTTATAATCGAATGTCACGCCTATTGCTGTCAAATCAAGACGATATAGCGAGAATGACGAACATTTTATCAAAAAAGAAATTTATAAATATTAAAAGATGAGGTGATAGAACCCAGTACGTACCACAGGACAGGGAACTCCCTTTGCCACTAATACTTGTACACGCTTACGTTTACAACATCGTAAACGCCTCGTTATCAACTATTCTCAAACTATTAATAAGTTTACAGAAGTTTATGCATATCCCTTGCCCAACATTGAAACTATAGTATCAAAGATAGCTCAAAACAAATACTTTAGCCAAAAAGACCTAAAAATTACTTATCATAAGGTACCAATTCTACATAGAGAAAGGCCTTATACAGCATTTGAATGGAAATTTGTATTAATTTACTCACATACCATTTAGAATTACAAATGGAGGATCGGCGGATTGAAAATAATAACCTGACAAGTATTGACTTATGACTTTAACTCATGAAGATGCGTCTTACGGTGGGGTAATGACAGCATTGGGCCCACCGCAAGATGCATCTTCATTAAAAATAATACCAGATATGTTCGCTCATTTTTCGTAATGGATTAGCAATTTTTCTCTAAATGATATTTTGTAGCGAATGGTGACACCATCTATACTGAATTACGGAAATGCCTTATTTTATTTTGCGCTTAGATTGTTATTTATTATAACAAGAATGACTTTTATTACATATATATTAAGTTGAATATTATTTATTACGTCCCTTTAAGAAAGTAAGTGATCCTTTGAAAATTCAAAGAAAGTTTTATTCATAGATCTTCCCTTGTTTAGTTCATTTTTTTTTAATTTGAAATCATTCTTGTTTTTTAAAAGACAGCTTACCAATAAGTTTAATATTACCAAAAATTTATATATAAATACGTGAAGTAAAAACTTTGGACCCCTTTTTACGAAAATTGTGAGGACGGAGTAGTATGAAATTTGACACACTTATAGTTTATATGTAAGAGAAGTGAAAACGGCTAATATTTTTCAATAATAATTCTGATAAAGTACATTAAATCGATAAATAAAACATTACACTCGCTACTATGCAGTTGACACACACAAACAAATATTAGCTACACGCATACATGTACTCTGTGGTTAAATTGTTTACTTTGTAGCAGTAATCTGAATGAAAAAAACGTAGCGACATCTGGTTTGATTTCGAACACTAATGTTTTTTTAAATACTTCCTCATTGACATTTAAATATTTTATCTTCATGATTTAAATCCTATAATGAAATCACTAAAAAGGCACTTCCACTCGATGGCAAACGACTCTAGCAAAAGTCGATTTTTACAGGAAACGAATGTACCAAAGACAAATTTAGATATCAATACAAATACGAAAAGTATAAATAGAATATGAGTTGTTTATTGAGTTTTGAAAACTAATTTACTTTTAAACATGAAAGAAAACCGGAAGTGTTGTCATGGAGAAGAACGTACCGTAGTGACATCTAATTTGATTTCGGGAATTAATGTTTTTTTTTTAAATACATCCTCATTGTTGGTCTGTGGATATTCCTGATATTGTAATCTTTGTTCCTGCGCTTCCTGTTTACTGTGTTTTTCAGAAAAAATAAATAAATAATGGCTGTTTTAATAACCACAAAATATCCATCCTAATTCTGAAGAAATCAAAATACTGAGTGTATAACCTGTATATTTTTATATATATAAATAAAACTAATAATGGATGAAGACAAATTCGCACTAGTTGAGAAAGTCATGAAAGACGTCGACAATGTTATGATGAAAAACGCTGAGTTGTAAATATTTTTGGCTCCAATTCAAATAAATATTTTTATGAAACAACGACTTACTGTTTAATTTTTTGCAGATGCGCGTTTGACATTGTTCCTGTTGAAGCAAATTTTCAAAATAAATCTCCTGTCTTACATTTGGAAAATTGTCTTGGTTTAGAATCTTGGTGTGTGAAGCATGTTTATATGTATTGCTATTCGGAGCTTATGGATAAGTATTTTGCAAAACCTAAGCGCAAAGCTCAAAAACCTTCCTCTGTCAATGCCGAGAGATTAACAAGGTTACTCAACATTACACTCCTTATCAATCCAGAATTGAATAGTTTATGGAACAAAAGGCGAGAGATGGTATTAAACTGTTTTCTACAAAAGTCATCAGAATTGCAATTTTCTAAACTAGTGCTTTCTAGAAAACCCAAATGTAATGATGCATTTGCTTATAGGAGATGGCTTCTAAAAGAAATTTTTAAAGGTAAAGTATACAGATGAATTTCATTTACAAAGATTAGGGCATGTACCACAATATTTTGTTCTCATTGCTGATGACACAATTCATTATGCAATATAAGGAAAAATGTGAAGTAGGTATTACATGATGATTAATAAGTAATTTTGACTGTGTTTCTCAATAAACACAAAGTCAATATTATTCAATTTTATTAAAAGTTTTTTCAATTTTTTTAAGTTTTTTTTTTAATATATATTTTTTTAATTAGTTTTAACAACTATATTCCACACTGTAAAATGATCTTGTTCAGTTTGATTAGATTAGTGTTCTGTTTCAAATCAAAACACCATAGAAACAAAATTTGATTCTATGATAAGGCTGAATCAAAACTATATGCCTACAATTCCTTTTCTGTTACTTCTACTAAAAAGTGTTCTTTTGAGTAATTGATATTTAGCATTATCTAATCTATATTTAATATTTCAGATTCAACACTGCAAAGCAATCACATAAATAGTCTTGCTAATGATGAGATTTATGTCTGTGATCTGGCATCTGACAAGAGCGCCAACAACTATCACAGTTGGAACCATCGTATATGGATTATCAATTTACTGAAGAAATGTAAAAATTTTGATGTACAATTCCTTTTCATCAAAGAGTATGATTTTTCAGAGAGGTGGTTAGCTAAACATGTTTCAGATTATAGTTGTTTTCATTACAGACAATTTTGTATTGAAAACATTTTTTTGGTTAGTGTAGAAAGATGGAGTACTTTTGACAATCATATAAATGGTTATAACCGGAGAAGTCTAATAAAGACTTTAGGTAACAATTTCCCTAAAGATATTACAGTCCAAGCTTCAGAAGCTGATTTACTAACTTATTCTGATGAGAGTTTGGTTAATTTATTGCTTAGTTATAGCAATAAAAAATGTAATTGCACTGTTGACAATGTTTTACTGTGCAGAAAAATTGAGGTTTTATTTCATGAGTTGGATTTGAACAGTGAGTTGCTTAGATTTTATAAATATCATGAGGCTATGTGGTATCACCGGCGATTTATTGTGCACAAATTAATCAGTATAATGTATGATCATTTTGGCATAAATAGACAGAATGGCTCGCTTGTAAAAAGCAGTTGCGGCAAATGTAATTTGGATGCTACGAGTGAAAGGAATGCTAAAATAGTGAGATATGATGGTAACAGAATATATTCATGTGTACTTTTCAATGTTTTGATGAATTATGAGAAAGTTTTTATTGATGAAAGACGTATTGATGGTGACAATTATGCAGATAGACATGAAAAATATTTAAGATTTATCGAAGGTCTTAATAATGTAATGTGAATTCCAAAATGTAGATTTTTACTAGATTAATCTGGTGAAATTTATAAGGAAATAATAAAATATATATATAAATCATCACAAATAGAAATTTTATAGTCATGCATAGTGATAACATCACTGATGTTTAGCGTGGTTCGATTAATTTACACTATTGCTAATTTTTTTATAGTTGTCAATCAATTGCCGTTTACTTTTGCGTTTTTTATTCTGAACTTTAGTAATTGCAATATACAATTTCTTGCTAATATCAATTTGACGCACTATATTATTTAATAACATTAAGAATTTGAAAAATCAGTCGTTCATTATACATAAAAATATTATGATAAAGTAATTGTGATAAGTAATGGTATTATTTATCACTTACACGTTTTAATCGATAATATAATGACTGTCTGTAACAGAAAAGTTAAGAGTTTAAGCAGCTTTCTGTTGTTTCAAAAAAGGTTAAATGTTACAACTTGCTGACAATGCTGAATCATATATTAATTTTGATGTCTTTTTTTTATCAAAAGCAAAACAGAAAAAAATAAACTAATCACTGTTACCATGAATTTTAGAAATTATAAATATTCAATTGCTTGCCATAAAATATATCAAGTATTGAGTTGTGGAAAGATCCTTAATTATGATTACATAATCATCAAATACTTTGTATTGTATGTAGTAGAGCTAGTGTTACTGTAATGTTTGTTCTATTATAATTTATATTGTATGAAAAGACATTTTATAATCTAATATATTTTTTTAAGTTATTCCAAATGAATTTTATTCTTTCAAATGAAATAGTGTTTGATATGATTACATCATTATCAACACCATCACCATCACCACCACCATCATCAGCATCATCGCCACTACCTCCTAATATTTTTTGCTGCTACTTTTTGCTTAATAGATGCCCAAACCATTTCAATAGCGTTGAGATTACGTTGATATGGCGTAATCGTTTGGTGGGCGTTATAATAATGTTACTGACTAAATAAATATACACAAAAATACAAGGTATTTTAAGTGAATTCTAATGATCACATTGTTGAATTAAGTTTGATTTGTGCAATAACTTCCTTCTATCGATATCCGTGTATCTGATACGTTGCAGTAACACCACACTCAACAGGCATAATTTATTATTAATTTCTTAAACCGAATATTTACACCAGTTTATTACAACTTTACGATTAGTATAGTATTTTGAAACTTATTTTTTTTAATGGAACCAAGTGATCTTACTAGAATAGGGATGATGACTAATTTTTGCTTGTTTGTCCGTCAGGTAGTGTTAAAAAATATTAAACACGTATTATTTTATTTTTTTCTTAATCATAAAATTACGGCGTTACATGGAGTTGAAATTTCGCATGACGTCACGTTAGAGTACGTTTTCTACTCAACTGTGACGTAGCGAGTCCCCACTCCTCAACTTTAACGCCTGTTAGCTACTTCTTGTTAAATTGAAGTAAAAAAAAATACGTATCTAATATTTTTCTATTATCTGACTGACGGACTAAATAGAATTGCATTTTTTTTACCCAGTCATTATCCCTATTCAGGTATTAACTATTAAATAGTTACTATTTATTACTCCATTTTGCAACTCCCCTCTTTTGTTTATTATGATGTATGGTTTATTGTTTTCTTACGTAACGGGTTGCCTGGAACAGATTGCTATTTATGTAGCAATAAGGCCCACCATCGTTTTCTCTTTTTTTTCTAGTGTTTCTGTATTTTGCCCTGTGTAGCGTGCAGCAAATAATATTTTATTATTATTATTTATGTATTGAAGAGACGTATTTTATTGTAGTCGCTATGATTGTATTTTAAACTTTATTTAATAAATAATAAGGTACCTTAAATAAACGACATACTAAATTAATAAAGTTGTGCAAGATTTGCAGTTACATAGTAGCATACTACGAGTTTCGTAGTACGCTACGGTACTTGCTACGGATCTCTTGTGTAAAGCGAGGTTTTGAATTAGTGCAACTTTATGATGGGGGTACTAAGTATTATAATATCGGTACACAGGGGTGACCTCTTATTATTTAATTCATCGACTAATTAAATGAAAATATGAAATAACAATATTAGATTTAAACGTCCATAAAACTAAATACAAATGCGATGACCGTTTAAAGTTGTTTCATTTATTAATATTAGATGTTTTATTATTTTTAGGTAAATATTTGTAGCAATTCTGTTGTACAAATTAAACTTAACTTAGTATTACACCTGTTTCTTTTAGTTAAGATGGTACAACGAAATGGTTATCGTTTTTTATTATAGATATCAAAATTTTGGAAAATTTCGTAGTTGTCCTCCAATTATAAAGGCATATATAAGTAGTAAATAGGTAGGTACGACGCTGCATACGCATTACGCATCGGCAGCAATGGATGTGGGTCAGGCTCGCAAGAAAGGGGGGAACCTCCTCCCAAAACCCCATGAAGAAAAGTGTCAACGTCATGTACGATCGCAATCTAATTTCAATCTTAATTCCAGCGCCGACGTTTCAGGTTATTTTGTGATGGCCAAAGCTATGTTACTTTGAAGATAATGTGTCGTTTCGTGACGTCACACGGGTTCGTTCGGGTCGATATTGAGTGTCGGGTGTTCTCGACGACTGTCGGGGGAGGTTCAGCGGCGCGAAAACCACGTGCGCGTTACGTAACCTATGTCATGGTACAACTCATTGACTAATATTATTTATGTAATAAGCTAGCTGTGTACAACAGTACCGGTTTTCTTTTACATAAACAAAGCAGTCTGCAATTGAAGAATATTTAAACCTTGTTTCAGTTATTTAGCTGTAGTTATTAAAGGTGTAACGTTTTGAATTTAACATTTTATAAGAAGTAATGCTTGATCTATAGGTGCTTGTAAGAATACAGCCATGGTCGCTATAATCGGCACTTTGTAGATATTATTTTAGTTTGTGTGGTTGTTTCATATGTTTCACATAAGATAGTTATTATGCATCCTTCATTTTTATTGTTTATTATAAAACTAATATTATAGAGTAGAGACATTTGATTATTCGTTTGTTTGCATTGAATTTACTCGGAAACTCTTGGACTGATTTTAAAAATTCTTTAACATACGGGAAACTACGTCATACGCGGTGTCTGTACGAACTGTTATGTTTAATAGGACTTATTTTTTTTCATCACAATTAATTTGTTTTATTATTGGCATATATGCGCCAACCAGTTCCTTTGACAACCTTAAGAAAGAATGTTGTACTCATATATGGTATTCCATTTTATATGAAATGCTAAAAGATGAGTTCGTTCATCTAACATCTGGATCACGTGCGGGAGCGCCTGGAAGGCTTATGAGAACATTCCAAGCTAGAATAGGCATGCTTGTTCTATATCTGAAAATCTGAGACCTACGCGTCTACTTATTAGTCTTATTATTAGGTTAATGTACATCTTCACAGAATACTATATGTTCCGTGTGTAGTTTGTTAATGAACATGATTAGTTGCGAGAGTTTTCATGGAGAAACCGGCGAATGGGTGTTGGATCTTTCTGAGTATGCTACCAGCTATTTATATAGTAGGGGGCCATTTGACCAAAATTAAATTAGTACTTTTTAGAAAAGCTCTTTGATTCTGTAAATTAATATTATATAGAGGAAATATTAGAATATTAAATTGAACAATCTAACCAATAACATATCTATACCATGTAATTGCCGAGGAAACTTTCTACATTTATATGTTGCCGAGATTATTTATATACTCAAGTCAAATTAGATACACTATTAATAATATCTGAACCAAGTCACAGACAGACGGATATAAGGAAACTGTAATGGTTCCTTGTTGTTACTACAGAAACCTTGAAAGAGTTCGGTTTGTGATGTGTAAGGAAAGAATTGCCTATTAACTCTCCTGTAATGCTACTTTATATTCTATAGTGGTTGAAAAAGTTAAAACTGTAATCAGTATAAATATGCGTTCTTAACAAAGTCTGTTTTCACTTGGAAAAGAGGTGCAAAATAATTAATACTAGCATTGAAAGGCAATTGTTCTCACATTGCGATTATCAGTAATTTTTAAGACGAATTATAGTTAAAAGAGATTAGAGATGTTATTGGGGTATTCCAAAAATGGAATATTCGCGTGCAGCGGGCGGCGTGACGACGGCAGGCCACCGTTTGATCATTTTATTTCGGCGGGTTTTTGTTGCGTAATTGGTTCATTGTCGTCACTGATCGTCTTATTTCCTTATTAACAGTCTTATTTCATCCGACGACCTTATTAAGTTCGGGTCCCTAGATATTTGAATGCGTAAATGGCATCTACATATTAGTTCTAAAAGAGTTACTGTTGAATATTAATCTATTCAATTTTAATATAGTAAATTTTAAGGTTCAAGTTTGAGTTTGATATATTATCTGAAACAATTATTGTTAATAAGGATTTTTGTTAATAGTAATAAAAATTCTAACAGTATCGCTAAAACTTATATATACAGAAGTATGTTGATCTGTGAAGTGAGTCGATCATCGAAACTGCATCAGTAAGTAGTAGGGCAGTGCAATAATTGCATCAAGTTTAACCGGGCTCGATCGATGTGAGGGTATTTACCTCGCCGGGCGAAAATAATCCGGGTGCCGGTGATGTCAGAGAGTGTTCAGAGTGCGGCTGCGCGGCGGCGTGTTTCGTACAAAGTCGGGTGTCTCCGAGTCACGTCGACAGGGGTCGCCGTGTTCGAATGGCGGCGAGTATCGGCGAGTGGCGGATAGTTGCTGCCGGGCGGCAGTTGGTCGGCGGGCGCGAACGAGTTATGGCGCCCCGCGCCCGGTGCGGCCGGTGAGGCGCCGGCCCCGCCGACCGCCCCGGTCGACGGGCCAGCCGGGCCACGAACGGCCCATCATGTCCTTACTCAGCGTCACAGGTGTGTTTAGTAGTGCATAAAGTGTGTCCTTTGTGCTTTTCAGCTATGACTTACGGACGCTTTGCACTATACAGGTATTTATGGTGGCACAAGGAATCGGTAAGACGTTCCGCACTAACTATGCCGCAGAACGGAGTATTGACAGAAATTTAGGATATTTAGCAAACGGTCTGACGTTAAAACTGTTTTTATGTTGAAAGCGTCGGTTTCAAGCCCGGCGTTATGTACGTTTCCTCGTTTACGTCAATGATAAATGCGAGATAAGTGAAGTTTGATTACGAATTTCGATTCGCCGAACACCGTTTGTTTGTTGTGTAATGTAAAGCCTTCTCTCTGTCATGTTTTCAACTTTTTCCGGTTCGGAACAAAGATTATATTTATTATTCACGAGAAGAGCTTCGAGAGTAACCTGAAAAGAAAAGCAATTAATTTTCGTTCACGCACCAATGCCGTGGGATTTTATCATAGCGTTACTTACTATATTATTAATAACTTATTGTTATCCCGTGGTGCTTCAATACAATTACTATCCAGGCACTTATTTATATATACTTAATTTCAGTAAAGAATAATCTAACACAGCAGGCTTTATAGGAAATGAGTAAA